ATGACCCGGCGACAAACCCCACTCACATGTATGCTGTTAAAGGTTCAGTGTGGAAGATTTAGGTGAAAGGGATTTTTGGCAGTAATTGAAAATAAAATAATACTTGTGATGTTTTTACTGGTGTGTTTCATCTAAATTAATATGAATTGTAGTTTTCTTTACGATAGAATGGACCTTTATATTTAAATACTTGTTATCTACATGGAGGGGGGTCCTCTCTGTGGAGGTAGCCATGTTGGGAAGGGGAGGGTGAGATGAGGAGTATTCAGCTGCAACTTCACCTCTAGATGTCACTAAATTCTACACACTGAACCTTTAAAACGGCTCACACTTAACAAACACATGCTGACGTGACACTTTAAACGAGCCAAGGCAGAGTAAAGCAAAGTAAGTAAGCAAAACTAAGCAAAACAGCGAGGTAAAGCAAAACAGCAGCGCTCCTGCAGCGTGTGATGAAGAGCCGACACAGTTTTCCAGTGAAGCGGTCAAACTCCAACCCACGCTCACAGTCCCTAGGATCATGAGTGAACCTTAAATTAAATGCAATAGTGGAAACACAGTAAAAGTGGTACTACAGCGGGCTACATACCAATTACTCTGCAGCGTCCCTTAGCTCAGAGGGGAGGGAGGAGGAGAGGGGGCTTGCGGTCTGCAGCCGTACTGTTACCGACAACAAAGCACCATAAACAGTCTGGTAAGTAATCACAAGGCAAAGGAAAGGTGAACGCACCAACAGTGTCAGGGGACAGCTACAAGTATAGTGTCCCTGTACTGGTGATTGGCTGATAAAGCCGAGTAATCAACAGCACAAAACACTATTCTGCCACACATACAATGGAAATACTAAGCTAAACTAGAAAGGCACACTGAATGCATTCCTGCACCGAGGCCCAACAGCCCCCTTATGAAAACCCCATTTAAATTCACTAGATCCAGATTTGAATTTGTATCTGCACCAAATTTCACACACTCATAAATATCAGCCCCCTTAACATGCATGTTTTTCTCATCAAGCTACATCAATTATTCTCCCAGAAATCAACGAAAAATATTGAAACACACCCTATCTCGCAATGTTGAAGAAAATATGTGGATCTGGATCTACACCAAAACTTAATGTGTTCTTTCTTGCATTATGCCCCAGCAAATATTATGGAAATGAGGTCAGTTGTTGCACAATCCTGCTAACTAATTAACAAACATCCAGAGCAACAAACTAGAATGACATGCCACAATCTGCACCAACATTTAATGGGTTCTTCCCTGAATCTCATCAAATCCTTTCTACTAAATCTCATGTAAACCGTTTTTGCGTGATCTTGATCACAAACAAACAAACAGTCAGGGTCCTTAGCTGAGGTTTTTAAAAGCACCTCAGAACTGTTCTTAAGTACAGAGCTTAAATCAATATAATGAGTTCCTTTTCATCACTGATTATATATGAAAGAAAGAGTGCACAATGGGAACAAGGTCAACAGAAAAGATGTTCAAAACTTGAGATTAGACTCATGTGTTAGTAACCGTGGCTGTTACTTCTTCTCTATCTGGCTGCAAAGCTTACCATGCACCAAGTTGTCATCATAGGTCTAACTTAGTTTGGCAGAATTCAATCTCTTTCCTTGTTTTCACCCTCCTGTGTCTGCAATATTCTTAAGTGTCATCTGTCATCAACCTCACAGCGCTACTTGAACTTTGGAAACAATTAATTAAGACTAATTCTGATTTTTCAGGCAGGAAAATCCATATTCATATTTCAGAGAGAAGAAGGTCATGCAGCACAGTGTCAGGAGACCAGTAACCCGTGGATGTCTTTCAGCAGGACTTTGCATTGTCTCATCAATTTTCTATTGATTTATTCACTCATTCATTCTTTACTTGTCTACACATGAATATCTAAAGTACACACCATGCTCCTGATGTATAATTACATTCCCTTGTTGTATCAGCTGACTGCAGCTCATCATTATGGCTGCCAGAGGTTCCAGGTTGCTTCTCAGAGGAGCCGACAGGGAACTTTTGGCTTTAATGAAGTCGCTCCGGCTTGTTAACATTTGCCAATTAGCACCAAACAGAAAGTCCAGCTGAAGCTGATGGGAATTCTATCAGGTCATAAACCAAAGTACTGAAATAATGACCCAGTAATGATGTGAGTAGAAATGTGAATGAAACGCAAAGGTTGTTTGGATTGATCCACTGGAGAAATTAAATGTGCAAACCAAATTTTCATTGCTACAGATAAATAATTTAGAGATTTCGTTTAAAAAAACAGATGTGAACCTCAAGGTGGCGCTAGAGGGAAAGACAGGAGATCACCAATTTCATTAGGAATCATCTTGTGGGGACCGTGACTATCTGTACCACACTTACCAGAAAACCAAAATGGTGGAATTGACTGACTGATATTACCATTGAGAGTCATTTCTGTAGCATTGGTAAAAATTAAATTCTGGATTTCACTCTTCAATTCCTAAAACATAATAACTCAGTTGGTGTATTGTCCCTTTGTAGCCTCTTCAGACCACAATTAAAAACTGCAATAATATTTTAGAGTGTCATAAAGGTAGTTTATCACATGTTAGCCCATTAAATACAGACTGTATTCTCTTTACAGTCCACCTTATAATTTATTCAAGCCATACCTGCTCACTGATTAATTATATTCACTGGTTCCAGCTCATTTCATGTATGAAAATCATCAATTTTCCATCATTCTTGAAACTTAGATTAAATATTCTAACTAGAACACACAGGCAACAGAGAACCAATAACCCTTAAGTGTATTGATCAATGTTGTTTTAGAATTAGAACATTAACATTAACGGTGCAGCGCTCAGATCTAGTTGTGGATCCCGAGAGGGGAAATCTAACCAAAATGTTTCAAACAAGTTAAGTTTGAAGCTGAGGCCAAAAACAGACAGCAGACATAGAATCATATCAAATGTAACAAGACAATAAGATGACTCTTGGTCACAGCAGACTCTCTAGTTTCCAGTGAGAGCAGGACAGAATTTCCACCACTCCTCTTTAATTTCCTCCTCATATCAAAGCTGCTGCACTTGAATTGGGCTAATGCTTGCAGGAGGATTGTAGCAGCAGGGACTCAGTGTAAGGCTTGTGGTGTTACATGGTGTGATCTGAATGATTTAGGACTCTTACATTTTAAAACAGCTGCAGCACAGTTTCAGATACCCAAACATGACAACACCGAGAGCACTTCACGCCTTCAGCACGAGCGTCTCTGGTTCTGCCATTAATCGGTTTTTTCATGCCAAATTAGAGTGAATATCGCACGAGGACATGGCAGCATGGAGAATATATGTAATCTACATTTTAAGGAGCCTGAAGGCTAATTATAATTGCAAATTTGCAACTTGACTCCTGGCCCTCTTTCGGCACAGACCCAGTTTGAACTGATCATTAAAGGCTGGATCCACTCAAAATTCACAATCCTTAGATCTTCTTAGTGAGAGCAGCTTGGTGCTGTGTTGTTATTTTGATTTCTGCATCTTACACAGTGCAGTATACTTTTACATTTGCTGTCTTCATGGAAGGGTTTTTTAATAAAAGTGGCTGAGGAGAAGAAGTAAAATATTAACTACCCCCACTGTATGATAGGACTCCAGCTCGTTATGAATTTAGGTTTCGTGTGGGGGGGGGGGGGCTTTGCATGTATGTTGTTTGCTCCATCACATAAAGTTTCAAGACTTTTGGATATATACATAAAATGAGATATATGTATAATTAAACATGATTATCAGCAGACAGTAGCATTTACACTGTATACAGATAGATGACAAGACTGCCCTTCAAAAGTGAAACCAAAGCATGTTGATCACCACCTGGTGGCTGGCTTCAGTATAGGTTATTGACCCCCACCTTCTCCATGTTAATGGATGGGACATGGAAACTGAAAAGTTAAAGTACACATTTAATTTTTCTTATTAATGGTTTCTGTCATGCTTCTTCTTATTACACTGGTGTGTTTAAGTGCTCATTTTCCCTATTAGTTTTTTTATTTGATCCTATAAAAATGGGTGGAAACATCATGATTAATTAATTAATAAACGTTCTCTTACACTTTTGGACAATCTCTCGTCAAACTCATTCATGGTTTTTTATTCAACTGTAAACATGAGAAGTAATTATGTGAGTGTTTCTTAGCATTGCGTTTCAAAAATGATTGACTAGAAGATTTCTCTGCAGGTGCTGCTAGATTCTTCCATGCTCATGCACTGGTCACAGATATGACACTGACTTAGTTTGGTGAAACAATCAAGAAGAAATTACCTCAGTCCTGATTCAGGGGTCTGACAACAGAGATAGCAATACATATACAACTGCATTCACAACTTTATGTGTTACATTAACGCTCAGCTATATACCTGCATATGGGAAATACTCTGCATACTTTGAACACTTGCACATTGTACTACTCAGCTGTACTGCTCTTCTTATTTTTCTTTTACCATTAAAACATACTGTGCATATATTTTTTTATTTAAATTGATATTGTTACATTTTTATACTTTTCTTATCTGATATTTAGGGATGTCTGACATGCACCAACAACACCAAAACAAATTCCAATGTATGTGTACAAAACTTACTTGGCGATAAAAGCTAATAATATGGTCTTCCCACTGTGGACCGAGATCCTTCAGAAAAAAAGGGACCTTGAAAGTGCATGAAGACGCTGTTGTGTTGTGCTCTGCAGATAAACACCTTTAAACACTGCTGCGTTGTGCATCTGCCACTTTAAGGCAGACAATTCAAATTAAGAGGCAGTGGGTGCAGATACACTGTTTGTGACACCTTGTGGCGGAGAATGAGGGGGTAGCGGAGACGGAGAGAGAGGGAGAGGGGAGGCAACACTGGAGAGAGAGAGAGAGAGAGAGAGAGAGAGAGAGAGAGAGAGATCAAAGCAGAGGAAGAGACAGAGGAGGAGAAAGGAGGATGAGAGATAGCGGCTCTGCAGAGACAGCTCCCTCCCTGCCTCCCTTTGCAGCGACTGTTACTCCACTTTCTCTGAGAGCCGGTTATCTTCCCTCTGCGTGAGTCATGGAGGTGATTTAGGTGAGCGGAGCAGCGGGAGCAGCAGGAGCAGCAGGAGGAAGCAACAGATCTGCCCGTGCGTCTGCGCTGTGGCCAGGTAAGCCCACCCTGCACCCCTCTGGGTGTCGTTTTCACTGCTCCTCTTCGCCTCCCCGTGAAGAGGAGCAAACAACTTCTGCGGAGTTTGCCTCTTGCTCAGCTCACCTCCTCTCCTCCTCACCGAACCGACAGCGCTCCAGCAGACTTCGTCCCTCTCATTCGGGCTGTCGGCGCACGGCTGGTGTGCGCTCGGGCGGGATGTACAGTGCAGACCGTGTGGAGTGTGGAAGCTGTGCTGGCAGTCTGAGCAGCGTTCACTGTCTGTGTATTGACAGGCGGCTCGCAGGGGCTGTGGGTTGGAAGAGGATGAGAGGGAGAGGAGGCAAATCTCTGCTTGAGGGACCAGGAGGGTACCAGCGTCAGCGATAATGATCCCGATCTGCATGAGAGAAAAGATAATCCTGCACAAGTAAGCCCTGGCTGCTTGTCGGATTTAACGCTGCATATGCACATTTTATTTGTTTGTTTCCATTTTTTATTTTTTTTTGGCCAATAAAGCCAAGGCAAAACGTGTTTTTCCTGTGCGTCAGGATGGACAGGGAGCTGGATGTGTCCCCGGTCGTCCCTCCGGGGGCCCCACAGGTCTGGGTGAACAGAAGTGTGAGGAGGCAGGTGATGAGAGATGTGTGGCTCAGCCCTCTTTGAGTGACAGCTGAGCTCTATCACAGCTTTTATCATGACTCAGCTTGTGACACAAATCCCCGTTCCCCTCAGCGATGTGGGAATAACCTGCCTGGATTAGAGTGATCTACTGTTGCTCCCCATCAGCCTCGATGTGTTTGTGTGGGGTTTGACCTATAATGGCAGCTAATGGCATCATATGTTATTTTCCCGAGAGGACACTGTCAAACGGGACACTGTCAGCTGACACATCCACTAGTAATATGGCAGTTGTTATTAATGTTAGTTCTCCTCATGACCCCCTCAAAACTACTACTGGCAGGAGTTCTGGACAAGAATTAATGGACTCTTTAAAATTAGAAATGACATTTATTGCCAACTGGATTTACCGTCAGCAAGGACCTCTATCACTCTCCATAAAGGACAACTGCTGACGGTATTTTCATCTTTGTTGGCCCATGATATTGCCCTAGACAAAGGCCTTGATTAAATGTACAAAATATGAGGGCCATCTGCTTGGTATTGATCTCAACCCCTTTCTCCACCTCTCTGTTGTCTCACAGCTTAAAAAATCCTTCTCATTGATTCGTCTGCTTCTCTTTACCTGCTTCTCCTCTGTTGTGATTGGTATAGATTTAACCCGGGGGAGTCGGTCAAGGAAAATGGCTTTTACCTGGATTGACCTTATCCATGTTCCTCTTGGAAAGAGAGAGGGCCGTGTTTATAGCTTCAACATGATGTTCTCTTTCCCTGTGTGACTCTTCAATACTTGAAGCAGCGTTTTTTTAAGACCTCATATTAAAGTTTCAGTGTTGCAGCTGGGCGAAAAAGCTCCCGGATCGATAAACAGGCATCAACAATTCAGGGGGGTAAGCAGTGCAGCCAGTTAACAAATGTAACAGCTTGAGTCAGGTTGACTTAAAAATCATTGTCTCGTTGTCAATGTCAAAACCACTGTGTGAACACAAGGCTGAATAGGGAGGTAAAGACTTCAGAGAGTGCTTCTCTCAAGTTCTCAAAGGGAAACTAATTTTGACCAAATAGTCCAGATTTCACACCTTAGAATCTGCTCTCGCTCTTTCCAGTTGACGCAGATATGACGACTGCAGGCAAAAGAAGCCACACCACCATCTTTAAATCTCTCTGGGTGAAAGATCTGCATCGTGAACATAGATTCTGGCTTCACATATTTTTGTGCTTCTAAAATTCATCACTGTCTTTTTTTCTACATCTTGAAATCCTACAAATCATGTTTGCGTACAACTGTTCTGATATGCTCAATCGCTATTAGCAGCAGTACTGAGCTTATTAAATGGGATCAGGTATGAGTCCCAATGTGACCACTAAACATTACATACAGTAATTCACTGTTTCTGTTTTCAGTCCAGTTATGGGTGACCAACTTGTTCTTAGCTTCACAGATCCGTCCGTCCTCATGGTAACAAAATGCAAAATAATGAAATGACCTCTATGTATTAAGGGTTATTTACAGATTTACAGATTTATTCAGCAGAGAGCACTGGTTTTGGATCGATCCTATATATATCCTCTACATCCATGCAGCAAGATGAGAAGTGAACAGTTTCTTGCGCACAAAAAATGCTGCCAGTGATCGCAGACCACACACACATCACATTTCCTTTTCAAATATAATATATTATATTTATATATATTTTTTATGAATATTATTCAAAACTAAAAACACATTCATAATGAGACTGGGCTGTAGATTGAGTTCGAATCAAACTGGCTGTTAGTCAGCTTTAAGAAAAACCATGTTCATAGGGTTTCTTAAGGTAAAAGGTTCTGACTGAGTAAAACCAGCAAAATTACAACTATTGTGTTCCTCCTGGTTATTTAAAAAAGAATCGAAAAAATGGTCGAAAAGAACCCATTGACATAAACACTATAACAATGGAGAGTGTTTTCTTTTTTCTTTCTGGCTTTCATTTGTCTCGTCTGTCCCCTTTTCAGTTTTCCATCCGACAAAGTAAAGTGATTAAATGTGAAAAAAAATATGGAAGGTGGGTGGACTGCCTACTTTGAAACAAGCAAGAAAAGTCTGCATGGCCATCTGCTCACAGAAGAATTTTATTTTAATCAGGGCTGTAGCCTCCCTCCTGCAATTTAGCATCTTGTGTTAAGAGCGAGCAGAACGCTCCGTACAACATGTTAGTAACAGCAAATCCAAGCTGAAATCCAAGCGTGGCTTTGTTGCCATAAACAGATGCTGCATTCCACAAACCGTGTGAAGTTTGCTGCAGGTTGATCTGTATCACACTTACACAAGGAGACTTGTTTTATTTTAGATTTTTTAACTCTCTTACAAAACGGAAATCCAATCAATATTTAAATGTTTTATTGGTGTTTATATGTGTTAAATATGAGTTAATACACTCTTGCGAAAAAGGCTTATGTGCAATCAATGATTTACACTGAAAGTTTGATTAAGAAAAATACAAATTCAGGATAAATAGTTTTGTGCAACTTTTTCCAGTGAAAAAACCCAAAATAGAGTGTACATATATGGTTGTAAGTCACTCCATACAACAGCATTTGGGACACACTTAATTGAAAATGCACAAATATTCTGCTGGGCTTGCCTGCATTTGGAATGGAAGAGAACAGTGTTGTAGATCCAGTCGATAATGAGCCTGTTTTTTCTGTCTAAACACAGATGTAGGGAAAGAACTGGAGGGTGCTCTGTTTGTGAGAAGCTGATCTGGAGTCTGCTGAACATGCAGTCCTCCGTACTCTCTATTGGCCGTGCCGTTCATTAGGAGATGTGTGGGTGAAAATGCATCACGGTCTTTTGAATTATAAAAACTAAATGCATCATTTCCTCAGGCTGTCTCACTTCACCATTAGGAGTCCATGCCAATCTACACAGCGAACCGAAGAATCCCCACAATCAACATTCCACCTGATTGCGTCAGCAGGTAAGAGTTTTAGATTGAAAAAAAAAGACATTCTCAGCATTTTCTCACATTTTAGTCAAACTAGTTGTGATTGCACATTTTAATTATTGCCACCAGAACAACAGCAGCAGCCCCACTTATCAGTGTGACATCATTTCACCCAAATTCAACACGTCTCTTCTCATAAATGTGTCCACAAACACACTTTGTGCTAAAAGGGTGAGTTACGCAATGATTATGGAGGAAGAGACGAGATTCCTTCCAATGTAATTTGTTGAAACTGTAATCATCTATTTCTTTACCAGTGATTCTGACCTAACTGAGGTGAAGGAGTAAATGTTTTTATTTTTCAAAAGGAAGGTTACAGAGACCTAAGTTTGTTGGAAAATTAGTAGATCTAACAGCAACAGGGTATTTGTGCATCTAAACAGCTGCTCCTGCTCCAGACAGCTCGTCCACTGCTACTTTCATGAGAGAGAGAGACCAGGAACAGTTGTGTAACCATCATATATATTCCTCAATTCATTTACCTTCCATCATGCTTCAAACTCTTCACTCTAGCCAATGTTGTCATTTCTCTACTATTTCTCTGATGTTCTCCATTACATGTGGCATCTATTGCACTTCTGTTCGTCCTGGGAGAGGGATCCCTCACATGTGGCTCTCTTTGAGGATTTTCATTCTTTTTTTCCCTGTTAAAAGGTTTTATTTGGTAGTTTCTCCTTACTCTTGTTGAGGGTTAAGAACAGAGGGTGTCACACCTTGTTAGAGCCCTATGAGACAAATTGTGATTTGTCAATATGGGCTATACAAATACAATTTTATTGATTGATAAATACATTTGATTGATATTTGAGCTCTGTCAGAATGGTTGTTTCAGCCTTTTAATCGAAATAAAATTAAAAGCCGAACCTGAAGGTACACTGAGGCTAAAGGTAAATCTGACTGGCTACTGGCTTGTATGGTAGTGCTATGAGAACCATGTGGATCAGCCATCATTACCTCTGCGCCTTTTTACAACCTAAACTAAATACCTCCTCTAATCGGCAGCAGAGTCAAAAGCTGCCCTATTTAAGTAACTGCATAAAATGTGGTTGCAATAAGAGTAAGATAAAAAAGGAATAAAGGAGTTAAAACAACACAGTAGTACCAGAGTTACAAATCACATGTTAGAAATGCTTTACTATAAAAATTTGTTTTAAGCACTGATTTAAAGAAAGAAGTTACTACGGTTTAGGCATGTATTAAGTACATTGCAATAGTCCATACAGAAAAGACAAATGCATATATTAGCTTCTAAGTCAGGATGAAATAGAACCGATTTAATTTTGGAAATATTTGTTAGATGGAAGTAGCAGGATTTAATGATTTCATTAACCGGTGTTTTAAAATTCAGTTGGGAATCGAATGGGACACGTAGATTTTTAGCTGTGGTTTTAATATTGGTTGCCAGGGGACCAAGACATGGTAGGAGTTTGCCTTCTGGCTGATGATTATTATTTCAGATTTATAAAATTTTAACTGCAGGAAGTTAAGTGACATCCATACCGCAATGGCAGTTAGGCACTCTGTTGGGACAGTCCCGTGGCTGACGTTGTCTGACTTAAAAGACAGGTGAAATTGGGTATCATTGGCATAGGAATGATAGTATATCCCATTGAAATGGCTGATGATGTTTCCTAATGGGAGCATGTACAGTGAAAATATGATGGGACCAAGAATAGAACCTTGTGGCACCCTGCACATCAGTGGAGCTGAGGATGAGATGCTATTGCCGATGGGAATATTTAGACACTGTAAGTGTTTGTTATGTTTAGTTCTCACCCTATTTTTTATTACTACCTACTTTAAACTTTAAAAACCTTCTTCTTCTCTAGTAGCAACAGCGAGTGAACATGTTGCAAGTTCTCAGGTTAAGATGTGAATGCGTGGAGAACACTATAGCTTAGTTGTTGCATGAAAAGGCTAGAGCTGTTCTTTAATTGTCAGACTGTTGATTTGCTGTAAGTGGAACATTACGAGTGTAAACTCAATTTGTTTCAAATACAAAAATATGTGGTTACCCTGATGAAGATCATCGTACAAAGCACTTACAGCATCACAGGAAATAACAGCAGCTTTTTTGACTGTTATTACTGAGCACACATCAGGTCCAAAGTAAGACACTAATACCTGTGCTCCAATGGATAACAGTAGCAGTGAATAAAACAAGCTTACCAGCGCTACCTGTGGAAAGAGTTCTGGAGCCCTGGAAAGATATCTGGGCTTCGGTGCATGACTGAAAGCTGCTCAAAAGTCTAATAATATTAAACTCTGAACAAGTCTGAACTTTTATTTTGAAGTGCAGGGTGAGGGTTAAAGGAAGACAATATGTTTGTGGTCTCTTGTAGATCAGCTTTTTATTTCCAATGTGTTTCAAAACTTCGCTCTGAACTTTGTTTGATCTGCGTCTAACTTTTGAGGAGGAAGGCCTGCAGCAGTCCCACAAGGCTCAATTATCCCAGACTGATAACAACCTGGTAAGACTGGAGGCCCGGGAAGGGAACAGGAACTAAAGGGGAGACGGAGATGGTCGGATTATCGTAGATTGCCTAATATCACCTGGCCTCTGATCAAAATACTGTGTTGGCAGGCGGAGCACATAATCCTCTTGATTTCTCTTGTTGATGCCAAAAACTGCTGGTGCTGTTTGGATGGCTGTGCATGGAGAGACTGCTCCTAATGGAAACACTAGTACTACTGTAATTAGAAATCTGAAGGCATGGATCACATTACAAGAAAAAAGCACAAGTTAGGTTCATTATTTATAGATTTATTTTCGATATTGACTACATTTCTCAGTGCTTTGTATTACATTTTAATGCCAAATCCATTCTTACAAATGGTGGATGTTCTCTTCCATAGAGACGTTTGCTGGACAAATGTTCTTCTTTCATCATCTTTTTCTCTTCTGAAGTGCAGCTGGCTGCAATGAGCCTGATCACAGTTCTCAGGAATGTAATTAGAATTTTTGCTCAAGGACATTTTAACAATTTCTCTCAAAGTAAAAGACAAATTGGAGAGAAGTGTTTAAAAGAAATTATGATAATTTTGCCACATTAAGATTTGCACTTAGTCACAAATGTGCTACATCTAGACATCAATGTTTTTAAAAATATATATTTTTAGACTTCAGAATGTATGTTGTTGTTTTTTTGAGCAGTTTTTAGGTATTAGTTTGTCACCAGAAAAGATGAATAGAACAGAGACAGTGGGTCCTTGAATCTGAAAATAGCGGATGTCTGCACAGAGGAGCACACACATGATGATCAGTGTTTCCCTTTTACACTTAGAGGACACTTAAACCTTGTTGCGACAAGAGACAAATATAACTCTGCTGTAGCTTCTCTCTCAGATAAAAACAGTCTGTTGGGCCAGTCATGAGGCCTTGAGAAAATACATCTTGTCCTCAAAATCAGAATGTGCAATCAAACATGTCCTTATGTCCTCTGTTAAAACACTATGAGCTCATATTGAATTCTTTTTTCTTTTGCTGCTGGTACAGATGCATTCAGTGGTAACACAGTCAATAAAACCTGACAGAACATATTGTTTGCAACCCTCTCACCTTAACAGTTTAAAACAGGTAGGAAAAGAAGGGTGGTCATTGAGCGCATACGCCTGCCAAGGCTGATCAACATATTGCATATGTATAGGAAGTGGAAAAAGAAATCCTGTATCTTCTCATTAATCTGGATCTGCTTCAAAATGCAGTAGGCTCTTCCTTGGGTCATACCCCTCTACCCCTCTACAAAATGTCATGGAAATTGGTTGTGTAATTGTTGAATTACCTGCTGACGGACATAGGACAATACAAATCATAACATTCCTGGGAGGTGGCTTTACTTTCACAAGGTAGTTGACAAGTTCAGATATTTCATGCACCTGACTTCTTTCTTTCTGGTACAGTCTACTAACATTTTATATCCCAATGCACATCTCCACCCTCCTCTCATCATAACTGTCTGTAAAGGGGCTTGGGTTTGCCACTGAAGGCACAAATTCACTCACCAAAAAATACTAGTTTTACTCTTGTGGTATTATCAAAACAAAATATGATATTCAGTTATTTTATCATTACTGATATTTATGATGTTTGGAGAAGTGTCTATGATACCACAGCAAATCGTCGCTGCTGCACTGTGATGCTTCTCCTGACTGAAGGTTCACTTTTAGATATTTAAATGGTGATATATGATGAGATCAAATATGGAATGAGGTGAACGTATCTAATGACTCAAATATTCGATTTCACCTCTGTTGGCAGAAGTAATTATGACTAAGTCCCATGAGGCGAGAAGAAACACTGAGGAGAAAGTGCTGCTCAAACTAAAGTCATCGTTGTGTTCACTTCTTTGTTAAATTGAATAATTGTTATGCCTCCGTGCTCGTGACAGCCAAGAATGACCTGCTTAAATTTTGGTGATCACAGGTCAGAGGTTAATGTCACTGTGACCTCACGAATTGTTCAGGTGAACGTGATATCTCAAGATCAGTATTTAGATCTGCAATGGCTGACAGAGGCATGCAGCAGCGATTTAAATTTAGAACAAAATGATGTATCAGAGTTTTCAGCTTACAGTGATACTGGATGTTGGGGCAGGGCAATGCACAGCCACTCTACAGCATAAGCTAATGGGACGTTGTTTAAATTTGGAAAAGCAATTTTTTTCCAATGGAGGAGCAGAGAATATTTTTCTGTAATCTGTAATGTATTTATCACAACTGTCAGTTTATATACTGTCCAAGCTGTTGTTGGACAGCAAGAAAATTATAAACCAGTCAGTGATAGAACTAATTGCTGCCAGAAAAGTAAATGTAATGTATAGCTGTGGCAGTTCAGCAACATTAATACATATAAATAAATGATAAGCAGTAATATGATTGATGAGCAATAACCAAATTAGCTACTTAACAATTCAGTATTCACTGGATGTTTGGATTTGTCACGGGAGGGACAATCAGATGGGAGCTTATCAAAC